AGCAGGAGGCTCAGTATCTGGGACTAGGTCCCAGGGCAGGGGGAGAGAGCACGTAGCGCAGTGGCTGCGGGGGGAAGAGGGATGAGGCCTCGAACCCCTTGTGTTGCCCAGAACCCCAGGTGTCAGCAGCCACCGAGGGGAGAGGAAAAACAGCAAAGATGATGCCCTATCCCATGAGCAGGGTGTGGTCTCAACCTGAGACATATTAGTAAAGCTACAGAGGTGGGCACAGGCTGAAGAGCAGAGTATCAACCCCGAAGGGACACCTCTCTAGGACTACGAAGAGGAAGAGCAAGAGGACCGACCAATGGAGCTCACAGTTCTGGAAGGCTCAGCATCTCTTAAGCGCTTTTTAGAAAGCAAATGAGTGTAACCATCCAGATGGGAACCAGCTTGGCTCCAGAGGACCCCTCCCCTTTTGCTCCTCCAGAAGCACTAACCCCACAGCCTTATCCAAGGCCTGGCCCTCGCTCTCCAGGGGACGCTGGGCAAGTGTCAAGAACCCAGACTCCATCACCCCATCCTTAAAATGAAGAAGTCGGAAGTTATCACACTTGGGAGAACATCTGTGCTTGTTCATAAAATGACCGAAGGCAGAACCTCTAAGGGACCCAAGGGCTAACAATTCTCTGAGCTCACCTATCAGAGGGGCAGTCAATGCCTGTTAGAGTCCGGGTGGGAGGAGGGGAGGGAACAGCCTAGAAAGTGCACCCTGCCCTGCATAGCAGCCAGGAAGTCCAAGGAGCGGCTCACGGGGGGGATATGGGCTGCAAGTTTTAATACCCACATGCGTGGGGAGAACCCGCAGAGAAGACTGTTCATTTGTCTTTAGGACACCAGCCAAACCCCTCACAACCCCGACAGGAAGACTGCGAGCCAGATGCATGCGTGAGCAGTTAAATCGGGGTGTATCTCCCCTAGCTGGAATACCTGCAGTTAAAGTTCTCCATGAACCCCAAGAGTTGGATCTTCACAAAGACCACAGAGTGTGCAACCTCTTCCCCAAAGGCTAAAGAAAGGGGATTGCCAGGGCCCTGCATGTTGGGGATCCTCTCCCCCCCCCTCTTTAAAGTAGGATCATCATGTCCTTTGGGAGAACCAGCCTTTCCTCCTCAAAGGAAGACAAAGGTGGAGGAGACAGAGGCAGAACCGGGAGGAGGGTGCAAGACCTCAGCCTCCTGCCTCTCTTCCCCACGTCCTGCTCCAGAGCTGCCCCAGCCCCCCTTCCCACCTGCACCCTGGGGGGGGGGTGTCTGCTTGTCTGCACGTGCTTGAGGGGAAGCCGACTCTGCTGCTCCGGTGCGGGGATAGATTAAAACTTGTCTGGATAAAGCTCAAGTCTGAACCCCTCCCAATATCCCCCCGGCTGCAGGTCCTGGTTCCTGCCCTGCCCTGGGGACACTTAAATTGCCTGGGACTGCGACCGCAGGGGAATCTGGGGTCGCCTTCCAATTAAATTGGCTTCGGGTACCCAGAACAGAAGGGACCAGCGGGCGGGGCACTCAGAGCTCACCTGCTCAGGAGCCGGCTTCAAACTAGAACCCCTGACCACACCCCGCTTGGGACCCCAGCTAGAGGGAGCAGGCCCAGGAAACATCCCAGAGCCACTGATCCCCTCTGAGGTGCGGAGGGAGTCAGCGGGATTTGGGACAACGAGAGTCTGAGCAAGCCCCCCCGCTCCCACGCGCGCGGTACCCACGAATCCTTGCTGGGTAGTGGGGTGAGAACAGAAGACTTTGCCTCGAAGGGTGTCGGGGCGGGATAGCTTTGGCCTGGGGTGGGGGGTGGATGGGGGCACGGCGTGGACAGGGCAGCGATGGCAATGCGCTCCCAGCAACTCCGGGCCTCCGGGTGCCCGCGCAGTCTGGACTGGGGCCCACGCGTGGAGCTGCACCGGCTTTCCGTGCTTGGGTCGGTGAGGCTTGGCGCAAGGAAACTTCTGGAGACCAGCGGGACCCCCCCACCACCACCACCACCCCCCATCCTGATAGAAGAAGGCGCTCTGCGGGATGGAGAAGGGAGACCTCTGCGTGGTTTTGCTCAGAAAAGGCGGACACGGCCAGTGCCTGCCGGGCCTCTCCTGTGTGCGTCTGGCTCTGCGTTTCCCGGCGCTTCTGTGAGCCTGTGGCTGTGCATCCTACGTGTGCAACCCTGGTGTGCGCGCGCGTGCCCCCGAGGGGGAGCCGACCCCTCCGGTCCCCCGCGAGACGCGCGATCGCCACCGGTCCGCACGGCCGGGCTGGGCTCGTAGCCTCCCCGAGGGCTCGGCGCGGCGGGCAGCACCGCGGCCGGGAGGCAGGGCCCGGCTCGGCCCAGTTCTGGCTGCTTTTCGGGAAGCGCGAATCCGGGGCCGCGAGCGCCCAGGGGGGCGGGGGCTGGACTGGGCCCCGGGGCCCGCGCGCACCCGCCGCCGCCTGCAAGCCCGGGCCCCGCGGGCCTCGGCGGGCCTGGCGTGTGCGGCTCAGCGCGCTCGGCCTGCTCTTCGGAGCCTTAGAAATCTCGGTCTTCGTTCGGGAAATCCTAGCCTCCCCCGCCGCTCTCGGAAGCCTCGGGCGCCACCGGGAAAATCCGCGATCCCTGGGCCAAGGGAGCCGTCCCGGCGCGAGTCGACCCGGCCCGAAATGCGGCTTTTGCTCCCCGGCACCAGCCCGGCCTAGAAAGGACTCTCTGTCCTGCGGCTGCTCATATTCCAAACGAACTTCTAAACTTCTCCTGGGCTTGGGACACCTCGCTCCTGCTGGAAATGTGAAGGAACTCCACTGCCCAGGGCAGAGCCCCGCTGTAGTTTCCCGGGAGAAATATTCAAGAAGGAGAGAAGGTGGGTGGCGCAGGAAGGGGCGCCTCCTAGGAACCCGCCAGGAGCATCCCCAATGCCACCCCAGGGGCCCGCAGCCCGGCTCTTCTCCTTCCCAGTATCCCAGTACCACAGTTTTGCTGTGCCCTCCAGGCTAACAGATCCTGGCCGTGCTAAGGTCCAACTGTACAGAAATCATATCATTACAGTCCCTGGGTGATTATTTCCTTTACTTTTTAAAGGAAGAAATGGGGGGGGGGGTTGGGGCAGCGGGCACCTCAAGGACCTTGCGAGAGGCGGGAGGCGGAATAGCTGCCCTGTGCCTAAAGCACCAACTCCTCCCCAGTTGTCCTCTCCAGCTGAGCTCCTCTTCTAGATATACATGCTGCCACGTTGTTCTCCCTAATGCCAGCACTGGATTTAATTGCCTCCAAAAATCCCATGTCCTTGGAATGTTCTGGTTACAGAATTTCAATATTTCAGAGGTCAGACGAAACTAATCTGGATAATGAAGGCAAAACTGAAGTACAGGGAAAATGCTGCTGTTTGGGTAGCAGAGCCTGCAGAAGGGTGGAGGGATCACTCCCACCCTGGGCTAGAACCCAAGCAGGTGTGGAGACTGCTGTGCCCAGAAACTCTGGGCACATTTAAAGATAATAGCTGGCTCACATTCCCATTTAGCTTGAAGTCCCTCCTAGAGCCCTCTACCCCTCTCTTCTCTTTCCTACACTGGACCACCCTCGTTGCTCCCACTCTCCTCCCCACTGTGCACATTCCTCTAGAAGTTCAGCTCCTTTTGGAGGCTGGGAGGTTGACTGGGGCGGGGAATGGTCAGCCTGGCACCCCTACGCTGCACCAGGCCAGCAAAGGCTGAATCTGGGGCCTCTACTCTACAACGGAGGTCTTTTAATGTGCTCAAGTCAATGAGTCAAAATGGAGAAGCAGCTACACCAAATCAGGGAGCCGCTAGGAGCCTTGTCACTCCAGCCAGGGGACTGGGATGTGTCCTGGGTTTGTTGACCTGAGCATCTCCGGGGTTGCACCACTCTCTACAGAGCCTCCTCCCAGAAAACCAGCTCTTGACATGGACAGTAGGCCTGCAAGGAGCTCGGTGCCAAACAGCCCCGCGTGGTCAGCTTTGTCGGCAGTCTGTTTAAAAATCTCTCAACAGGGCTCTCTGCAAACTCTGGACATTGCATCATTTTGAGGAAAGGAGATCCTTGAGAGGCCAGGTCTTGGAGAGAGGCTGGACTCTTCAGCCTTTCAAAAACAAAAAACCAAACCAGAACAACAACAACAACAACAACAACAAAAAACTCAAAATAGCCTGTCCCAGTTGCAGGGTCGAGGCAAAACAGGTATTCTAGCTGTAGTGTGATGGGGAAACTGCCTCTCAACTCCTGGCTGCTTGGGGGTGTAAGGATGCCAAGGGACTCACTGGGCCTAACTAAAGTGTGCCTGCGGGTGGGGGTGGGGTTGGAAGATGCCTTTTTTTGTTTGGGTTTGGGTTTTTTTTGTTTTTGTTTTTTTGTTTTTTGTAGACCCATCACTGGCCCAAGGAGAGCTAGGAGGTCTGAGCTCTGGTTTGGGCTCGACCTGGCTGTGGCCCTTTTGGGCACCTTTAAAGCCTTCTCAGGTCAGGCCTTTCGACCTAAACCACTGTGATTCATTCCTCCGTCTTTTCCTCTAGGACACGACATCCCCCCCTTAGCCATCTCTGAGCAAGGGGCAGATAGTGCAGGAATTGCCTCAAAGCTTCCACTCCTGATGTATCTAGCGAGCGGCCGCCTTCAAATACCGACTGTGGCTAAAGGAACCAGGGACCTTGCCGGCATCACCATCTTCTCCACTTCCAACTCCCTCTCCAGCGGAGGAAAGGCCACAGGCACACTCAGAGCACTGTGACTCGGAGTCGGGAGGCCGTCTGCCCCAGGGGCCTAGCAGATTCTGTGGCCACCTCGGTCCTCTGGCCACGCTCAGGGGAGCGGAGCACGGGTTCAGGCGCCCGGGGCGCAGGCTGTGTGGCCAAGGAGGCCTGTGAACGCTAAGGCCCGACGCGATCTCCATCTCCGCAGCGAGGCGCCTCCGAGGTCGTAGCGCTCTCCTCCCCGAGAAAGCGCTAGTCCCCCCTCCAGCCGCGCTGGGGGAGCGGGGATCCCCGGCCCTAAGGGCCGCAGGGCCCCCAGCAAGCCAAGCGGCCTTTACAAACCGTAGTAAACATTTTATTTACAAGTTTGTGGCGTCCTAAGTGCAGCTCGTCTTTGCGCGCCACGACCCCGAGTGCGGGGAGGAACGGATTCGTCCAACACGTCACAGTGTGAACTGCTCGCGGCCCGGGAGAAGATGCTCGGCCGGCCGGCGCGGGGTGGGGGCCTCGGGCGGGGGGCACTGCGCCACCACCCCCCCCCCGGCTCTGGGCGCGGGCGGGGCGACGGGCAGGTGGCACCGCGGGGAAGGGGGCCCCACCGCCGCCGCGGAGCAGGCGCAGAGTCCTGCCCACCTGCGAGGCTGCGGGCGGCACGCGGGCCCCGGGCCCCTTGCGTTGTGCAGTCTACAGGCCGCCCAGCGGTGCCGGGGCGGGCTCGGGGCTCTGCGCAGCGCCGCTGGGCGGGGGCTGGGGCGCGGGGGGCAGCTCCGAGGCGCCGCCGCCCCCGCTCCCCGCGCCGCCGCCGCCGCCGCCGATGCTGGCGAAGCTGAAGCTGCCGCCGCCGCCGCCGGCCGGGAGCAGCGCGCCCGCGGCCGAGGCCTTGATGACCGTGGTCTGGTGCAGGGGCCGCTCGGCCCCCTCAGTCCGCTCCGTGTCGCTGGGGACCATGTCCAGGGACTCGGAGTCGCTGCTCTCGCTCTCGGCCTCGCCCTCCGAGCGGCTGAGGCTCCGCTCCTCCTGCTCGCCGTCCGCCGCCGCGGCCCCGCCCGACGGCTTCTCGCCCGCCTCCTTGTCCTTGTCCTTCTGCGCCTGGGCCTCCTTGGAGTGCCGCCACTTCATCCTCCGGTTCTGGAACCACACCTTCACCTGCGCCGCCGCAGCACGTGGGGAGACAAGAGGGGACGCCGAGGTGAGCCGGGGGTGGAGGGTGGGGGCGCGCCCCAGGGCCCCGCGCGCAGCCTGCAGCCGCGGCCCCCCAGCACCTCCAGGCCCTGGGCTCGGCTCAGGGCCCCACGGCGGCCCAGCGAAGCCCGGGCCTAGGAACCCACGAGGACGGCTCCTCAAAACGTGGCCCTCCAGACCTGACCCAGAAATGACCCAGATGCTTGTTGCAAGGCGGAGTCCTGCACCTTGCCCTCACGCCAAGGACATTTCTGCTCTAAACCAAGGTTTCTTAACCCCACCTAAGCCGGGACTCCCCGAGAATCTGATTAAACTGTGGACCCCTGGCCCAGAAAAAATATATATAGCCCGGATTTCAAGGGTTGGGAGAACCAATGTTAATAAGAATCTCTGCTAAGCTAAGCTGGTCCCTTCCTCTACTGCCATTACCCAAGGCAAGTTTCTACAAAGGCAATTCTTGTTAAGGAGAAACCGTGGGAAGCACAGAGGGGCAAGAGGGTTCAAAGAGTTAATCCCAGTGGGGTGGGGGCACTGCCAGACCTCGGTACAAAAGAGCATCTCCTTGGCAGCGTGTGTACTCAGAAGCTGATAAGGACCCTGCCCCTGCCTGGGATAAACTAATCCTTCTGCAGGCTTAGAAAATGCTGGAATTAAACCTGTGCTAAGTGGAGGAAGGGGGTAGGGATGGGGTGGAGAATCTATATAAATATATACAATCCCCTGGGGGACCCAATGCTGTTCACACAAGTTCCAGCTTCCCTTTTAAAAATAACATCCACAGCTGGTGGAAACCGGCTGGGCTCTTCCAGTGTGTGTTGGGGAGGGGAGTTGTGTAATGGAGGACAGCAAGGGGCAGGGGCAGGGGTGCACCTAACGGAGCTATCAAAAGGTGGCCTGCCTTTGGCTTCTAGAAGCCCTACTCAGAAGACAGAGCACCCAGGGAGGAAAGGCCACTGCTGTGGGGTGTGGACGAAGGGTGACTCTTCTATGTTCAAACCCCCCCCCCAGAAAGTCCAGAGAAAGTCCAGTTCTTGAATCCGAGAAAAGAAAAAAAATTGAATTCAGAAATCGAATTCAAACACGATAGATACACCGTGGTCTTGAATAAAATCCAAGTAGGCAGAAGCTGCTGAAATGCTCTTGAGTATTACAAGAAAATCTTTTCTTCCTCTCTCTCTCTCTCTCTCTCTCTCTCTCTCTCTCTCCCCTCCCCCCTCCTCCCCACCCAGAGATTTTCATGAGAGTTTATGCCTCTGGAAAATCGGCCTGACTCTGACTGCTGCTGAGTGCACTCCTCGCCCTGCTGGGGCTAAGTCATTCCGTTTGAAATGATGTTTTCACTTCCTCACAAATGGGGATTTCACAATCCAGCGGCAGCAGGAGGAGGAGGAGGGAGGAAGGACGGGAGGAGGAGGGGAAAAAAAACCCAACAACAATCTCTTGACTTTGGATTTTTTATCTCTTCTGAAATAAACTGCCTCCTACAGCGAATTGCACTACAGTCGAGTACATAATTATTATCTCCTGCGGCCTATTTGCTTTCTCCGCAGTTCTTTGGCCTGTTGGCCAAAATAAACATGCAGCGCTTGTTGACATACATCTTTGGGGATGGGCTCTTCTTTCCATCCTTCTCCCCCACCCCACCCCACCCCACTCCACCCCCTCTGCCTGCCCCAAGTTTCGACGCCTACATTGTCTCCAGAAATTCGGGACTTGGTGTTTCCCCTGCGAACGGACAGTGGGCCTGGGTGGAGGGAGGCCTGGGGCTAGGCCGCGCTGTGCCCCCACCACCCCGTCACCCTGTTACCCTGCCACAAGCCGGGTCCCGCTTTACCTGCGCATCTGTAAGGCCTAGCATCGCGGCCAGCTGTTTTCGGTCGGGCTTCGTGACATACTTCTGAATCTCAAACCTTTTCTCCAGGCCTTTCCTCTGCAGGTTGGAGAAGACCGCCCGCGACCATGAGCGCTTCCTCTTGTACGTCTGCGGCATGGTGTCCTTCGTGAGCACCGCATAGGGACCTGCCACCGGGCAGTAGCGGGAGCAAGAGAGAAAGACGGGGTCCGCGTTAGTGTCCCACCCATGGTCTGCTTGAAACTGTTTTTGTGTGAGCCATGGGCTCTGCCCCCGTTCCAAAAGCCCTTGACGTACACGCGGAATGGCCTGTCGAGGGAGGAATCCCAGAGCTCCGAGGGCTTTAGGCATAAGGCCTACAGGAGAGTGGAGTGGAGACGCCCGGGCGGTTCAACCATTAATTTCAAAGCAGAAACCTCAACCTAAAGCATGGCCTTCGGGCACGCGAGAAGGAGGCGAAAATGCCCCTTGGGCCTGAAGGATGCAGAGATGACAGCTTTGACTCTCCTGTTGTGCGTGTGTGTGTGTGTGTGTGTGTGTGTGTGTGTGTGTGTGCACATTCCTACAAGCGTGCGCACAGACAAAACCTCCTTGGGCAAAGCCTTTGAGGTCATTCCCAACTGAGTGTATGTTAAAAAAAAAAAAAAAGCAACACTTCCTGCAGCATTTTCAAGCCACTTTCAGGCGCAAAGACTAGGGAAAGCCCCTTCACCCCAGCCCAGGCGCCCACACAAATGCTTTCTCTGTGGCACCCACTCTGGGTCCCCCACCCCCTGCCCCCCGGGAGCCACGGTAGAGTGAGCTAGCTATCTGAGGACTCTTTCGGTTTCTGTCTCTGCACTTGGTAGCCTCCCGCACCAACTCCAGGATCGCTGCACCGAGGTGGCCACGTGAGGCGTCAGTCCCGAGTTTTGCATCAGTCGCTCTCGGGGAGTGGAGGGGCGGTGAGGGTTTCTGTACCTGGAAACGTATCTTGAAACTGATGCTGAACTGAATTTCTCGGGTTCGAGCTTAAGGGGCTCAGGATGGCAGACGCCTCGTTAATGGGATCTAGAGCTGCGAAGAACTGGCCGGCGGAGGGCTGCAGGCCTGGGAGGTGCACCCCTGCGGGCCGCCCGCTGGTCAGCAGCGACGTGAGGTCTACAGACAGGGAAAAGAAGAGCTGGTTACACCTCGGGCAAACCCACACTCCCCGGCCGAGTTGTGCCTTCCCACCCCCTCCATTCGGTTTTCCTGGAGCAAAGTGAGGAGAGACCCTGGCCTCCGCGCCGAAACCCCCTCTCTCCTGACTGTGGCCAAGGGGCGATGTGCAAAATGTTCCTGTGTGTGGCCCACACGTCCACGTCTACACATAACAAGCGAGGAAGGGCTTTATAGAAAACGGGCAAAAGCACTTTCAGGTGCTTGCCTCGAATTCCACCAACTTAGCATCTCCCCCGGAGAAGGAGCCCCAACTCCACTGTCTCCTGGGAGCTGAAGGTCTATTTTTGTTTATCTACATTCCTTGAGTGGAATTTCACTAGAAACCAGATAAATGGAAGGGAAGGTGTTCCCCCAGAGGGTTTTTCCCCCCCGTCAAAATTAATATGGTTCTCTCTCTCTAGATACGGGATTCAAGAGACAGATGAGAATCATTTCAGCAAATATTGACCCCCAACGATTTTTATGAATAATGACTCTGTGATGTGTGTTTTTAAAGCATCCCTGGATTCCTTTTTTTTTTTTTTAAACGCGGAGCAGGTGAGTTTTAAACCTAACGTTTCACAGTCTTCTTACAATTCACCTTCTTCTCCCTCGTTTTACCGGTTTGTCCTTAATTGTGCAAATACTCAAAGGCATCCCAAAGGGCCCTGGGACGAGGGAGTGCGCCAAGGCCCTGGTCAGAGGCCTGCAGCCTCTCGCCCAAGACCTACCTCTCAGCGTGTTGCCTTCCTTGACTTTGGGGTCAAATTCTGCAGACAAAATGCGGTCAATTCCAAATTTGAGGTCCTTGCTAGAGGGGGCCGGGGCCGAGCCGCTATGCGGGGGGTTGGGGAGCACCCGCGCCGCGGAGACCGGGGGCTGCAGGGCGCCAGCCCGGGGTGGCGGTGGCGGCGGCGGCTGCTGCGGCGGCGGCGGCGGCGGCTGTTGCTGCTGCTGTTGCTGTGGGTGATGGTGGTGGTAGGCGGCTGAGAGCGGAGACAGCCGCTGCGGGAAGCCAGCCGGGACCTCGGAGGGCGCCACCACCGGGGTGGGTCGGAGCGGGGACCTGGCGGCGGCTTGGAACGACGCGTGCGGGTGAGCCGAGCCCAAGTGCGCGGTGAGGGCGGCGGCCGAGGCCCCCGCCAGGCCGTCCGGGGCCGCCCCCGGCTCCCCCACGCCCGCGTGCAGGATGTCTGCGATGCAGAAGGAGGGCTTCTTGACCGCGGCGGGGTCCAGCGGGAAGGAGCAGCCGCCCGGGCCGGCCGAGGAGCAGTAGGCGGCCGACCAGAGGCTGAAGTTGGAGGCGTAGAAGGGAGCCAGCCCGGCGGCGAACATTCTGGCTGGGTGCGCCGAGCTGCCGCCGCGGCCCGGCCCGGCCCGGCCCGGCCCGGCCCGGCCGAGCGGGCGGCTGGGTGGGTGCGCGGAGGCGAGCGCGCTGGGTCCCGGGGGCAGCGGCCGCGCAGCCGAGGACGATCCGCTTTCGCTTCTCCGTCCGCACCGAAGACAGGCCAGGGAGCCCTAGCGCCCCCGAGGGAAGAGGCGAGGCCCGGATCCCGGCCGGTCCCAGCCGCGGCCCCTGGCCTCACTTTAAAGGCGGCGCGGAGCCCGCGCTCCCCGCGGGCTGGAGGCGAGCGAGGGGCGCCGGGGCGGGCGGCCGGGCGGGCGGGGGCCGCGGGGAAGCCGGGGAGACAGGGGCCGGCCGCCGAAAGAAAACCCAAACAGCTAAGCCCGAAGAGCTAAATTTAAAACAACAACAATAATAATCCGTTAGTTTAAAAAAAAAAAAAAAAAGGTAATAAGAGAAAAGAAAAAAAAAAAAAACTCCTCTCTAAAAACTCCCAAAGTTTTGGCAGGAGCTTCGGAGCCAGACGCAGGGTAGGACCTCGATCCGAGCGCCCATTGGCCATCCTCCTGGCCAATGGGAGCGGGGAGTGGAGGGGAATTGGGAAAGAGGGGCGGGGCCTGGGAGGTGGGCGGGGCCTAGGAGGCGGGCCACGCCCCGGCCACGCCAAAGTGTTTGCTGCTGCCGCGTGGGCTGCGCAGGGGCCGGAGCGCAGGGGCCCGGGCGGCGGCTCGCCGGGCTGCGGAGCCTCCCGTAGCCTCTGCGGCTCCAAACCGACGTCGGACGCACAGAGTTGGTCCCGGAGCTCCTGGCCTGCTTTCTCGGGGGCGCTGACGCTCCCGAGTGGTTTCACGGGTGCAAAGCCCTCCCCCTGGCACACGGGGGCGGCCCCCTGGGTGCCCTCCTCCTGGCTTCGCTCGGGCCTGATTCGTCTTCCCTCGGCCTTTATCCCGAAAGCCCGCGTCCCCATCCCCCGTGGGCTCCCGCCGCCGAGCCGTGGCGCGGGGCAGCTGCGGTCCAGAGTCCCCGCCCAATGTTTTAGCGCCGCGTCCGCCGCGCTGCCTCGGACATCCTCGGGGAAGACAGGAGGGGCGGTCGCAAATTAGCTGGAGTCCCCGAGCTGTCACTTGGACGAGTAAGCTTGCGAACAAAATAAGATGGATGTCTCCGAACGTCTCCCTTGGACGCGGCCAAACCCTCCCCCGAACCTCGGGCGACAACAAAACAGGCCGCCCCGTCCGAAACCCGGGAAGGCGGCGCGAGCGTCCGCTCCTCTGCTGCACCTTGTAGGAAATGTCACCCTCCCAGCTCCACCACATCCCCGCATCACGCGGGGGCCATTGTTTTGCAAGTGCCCTCAAGAGCACATTTCCTTGGGGTTAAATACTACTTCAATTCAGTGACTGTTTCCCCAGGAACCCCTTGGGCCTGGTCGCAAAAGAAGCTGCAGTGGTGGCCACCCTCTTCCATTGGTGCTTTGGATCTTTAGAGCGCAGGGTGGGTGTAGTGGGGGTTTTCTGCAACATCAACATCTCTATTTTAAGAATTCGTTCTCTTTTAAATTACAGTCAGAATGGATTTCCCCACCCCTCTCCCAAACAAACCACAGGCCACCCAGATGAGCTCTTCTTGCACATTTTCAGGAAGAAAATAAAATAATAACAATAATGAAACCACGAAATCTTTTGTTTTCGATTGCCCTAATAAGCATCTCCTAATTGAACTTCTGTGCTTCTTCAGCACTTCTCCCTCCCCTCAAAAAAAAAAAAAAAAAAAAACTTTGAATACAGTTGCTTTAAAGCTTCTGTGACATTTTTTATTCCAACTAACAGGTCTTACCAAATAAACCCAGAAAGGCAACTGATCTTGCCATGCCTATGTCAGATTCAGGATTTGGGCTAATTAAAATATATTTCTGGTGGCTTCTAGCCTCTTGTTGCCAATGCTGTCATTTTAAGCTTTTGACTTTCTCCTGGAAAGTAATCAATCACTGATCAATCACTTCCGGCCAGGCAGCACTAGAACGTCCCCTACACCTGCCCTCACCCCTTCTGCCTGTCTTTCTCTCTCCCTCTCTAGGTCGCTCTCTCCTTTTTCTAAAGGGTTCCGAAGCTAGCTCCTTGCAGCAAGGACAGAGGTGTTCTTTCCAGAGATGGAATGGAGTGTTGGATCGCCTGGGGAGGCAGGCATCTGGGGCTACAGAGACGGGGAAGACCAGTCGGGCCTCTAGCCACTCAAAGGAGTGACAGATATAAGGCGGCCTGGGACGTTGGAGCCTCCTTGAGGTGTTCCAGGGGAGGTGGCGAGCCTGGGCTGGCAGGGCGCGGCCCCTCTGTAACTGCACAGCTCCCAGGGACCGTCGCCGGCGCCAGTGCGTGCAGGGACGGCCCTAAACCCCCTTTCCCAGTGTCCCTTCTAATTGCAATTTGACTGCAAACATCCCGACAGCGGCCTACTTTCAAACGCAAGGTTCTAAAGGCCTCACTGCTGCCAGCCGCCCCCAAATAAGACACGTCCCTAGGAGGGTGCGGGGTGCAGGGTGCACACGGGGCGGAACGCGCGGGCCCTCGGGGTGTCCCGAGGCGTCTCCGACCCGCATCTGCTGCATTTCAAGGCCCGGGAGCGCGCGGGGCAGGCGTGGGTGGAGGAGTGGCCGGGAGGCGGTTTTCCTGCGGACTCTGCGCCCCGCCGCGCGCTCCTCCGTGTCCCCGAAAGGCCCGCGCCTGGGGCGTGGATCGCAACTTCGCGCGCGCCCCTCTGCTCCCCGGGCGCTCGGCTCCAGGGCGGCCGCACCAGCGCCACCCGGCCTACCCCGAGCTCCTGGAGCCAAGCGCAGGAAAGGAAGCCTTTGCAAGGACCCCCTGCTCCCCGGACCTCCCGCCAGCTCACACCCCTTCCCCGGGATCAGGTGTCGCGGCCGCGGGCCCGCGCCCCGTCCTGGGCGCGCTGGCTCCCCTCTTCCTTACTGCCCACCCCTCAGAACCAAGAAAGCAGCAGGAAACCCCGGGCTCGCCGGAGTTCAGGTCATCTCCTGTTTTTTGATGGGCTCCAACTGGTACTAAATGAGCGGATGTGCCTGCGAGATTGGTCTCAAAATAGAAGCGGCCTTAGTATTTTAGGATACTGCAGAAATCCTTATTTCTTCCGGAGAAAAACTCTATAATGACTCCTAGCACTTCCCCTTTCAATATTTGTGCAACTTTATCTCCACCGACAAGTTGCTCGGGTGACGCAAATCCGCCCTTGTGTATTACAACCACCAAAATAAATGCGCGGAAATCAATCCCCTTCTAGCAATGAAAATATAAATATACAGCTGCGACTTTCCCCTTTAATCTTTGCTTTCCGAGCGGCTCCGGGCTGTGGCGAAATGAACTGGTCCAGAGCAATTGAGCCGGGGCGGGGAGGCCCTGGGGGCCGAGGCCAGGGCTTCCAGGGGCCTGGGAGCCGAGAGGCTCGGGCTCCAGCAGCAGCGAGAGGGCCTCCTGTAACCAAATTACCTGGAGCTTAAATGTGGTGGCCGCTCTGTCTTTGAGGAAGCTCGAGTGTAAAGACAATTTCTGAGGCCGCAAAGCTGTGCTGGCAAATCACAATTGACAATAGAGCAACAGAGGTGGTTGTTTCTACCCTAAGGCCACAATGGCAGGGGTTTCTGATCAATTCTGAGGGATGCCTTTAATGCATTCAACTCTCTCCTTCTCTTTTGCTGGGTAGACAGGGCCAAAAACTATTTCACTATACTGCGAGAGGATAATGCCAGAGAAGGTCCCTTTTATAATAGAACAATTTCATTTATGGGAATCTGGGATTGAAAGAAGGGGCCTAAAATCAGAGGTTTATGCATGGACCCAAGCAGCCCTTACCTTTTGGTTGCCCCTGTCTTTACAGCCCCCATACTGAAATCACCAGTGCAAATTTTTGTCCTAAACCTGGGGACACAGATAAACACCCACAGAGCAGAAAAAGTCAAAGACAATGAATGCTGGCCGTTGTTTATTGCAGTAACATAACTCCACGGGGTTTAAGATGCCCAGATCTGCTATCTGTGTGTGTGTGTGTGTGTGTGTGTGTGTGTGTGTGTGTTTGGTTTTGTTTTGTTTTGTTTTGTTTTCTTGTACACGCTGGGCAAAATAATGTGCAAGGCAGCGGCTCTGTGGACTTGGGACTCCCCCCAACACCTTTATTTTGAATATTATTTCAATCGCAGTACCTCCTGGTTTCAAAGAAAAAGAAGGAAATAATTAAATATTCGCAGTCAGAAAGAGAAGGAAACTACTTCCCTAGCTAAGGATATGAGAGACTTGCAGTAGTGTAGGAATCTGCGTATACTCTGCTGTCAGCCTGCCAGCGGGAGATTTATAGACTGCGGGGCTCAGCGCTCACATTTACTGGTAGGTATGGGACCTCTGTTCCTTGTGTGGATGCTAGATACTTCGGAGTATCTTGTGGAGTTGAGGACTCTACAGGCTACACACACACACACACACACACACACACACACACACCTTGGATTATTCTAAGCAGGCCCCAACTCCCTTTTCCTGGAGACTTTTACTTATTCCAGAACTAAATAGAGTCCCTGAATGTTCCTGAAGATAGTTAGACTTTGATATGGGTTAGAAAAGGCAAATAACAATGGGATAGGAAAACTAGGTCCATAGCCACTGATTTCTGCCTTTTTCTCGTCCCCCAGGTGTGACAGACTTGCAGGTGGCCAACTCTTTATGTGCTCATGGCTGTGCCCCTGACCTCCTGCCCACAGATGTGGCTTCAGAGCCTCAGACGACCTTCTGGGTCTGCTCCCACTTGCCCTTGGCTCTCACAGAGTTTCTCACATATGTCCTTCCCTCCATTACTAGGATATACCACTGCTCACACGTGTACCATGCCCCCCTCACGCACATATACACACACACTCGTGTGCTCACTGTGGATCTCAGAGACTGAACAGAAGGGCAAGCCAACAGTTTGGGGTTTGCTCCTGTAGCAAAGAGCTACTTTTCTGTTTCTCCAAGTCACCTTCTGCACACCCAACCAAGAAAGACCTCGGACCTCATAAAACCTAATGGTAGAATCTATTTCAGCATGTGCACCGTAACAGACTCACCTATATTTGCAGTGAAATCAGGTCCCCTTAAGAGTAAACTCTGAGAAACCATCTGTTAACACCTAAGGTTTGGTGCTTCCTCCAACAGGTTGTATCTGGTAACCGAAACAGCATTGGCCCACTCTCAGGGCATTTGCCTTGTGGAAGCTGGGGGGATTATCTGAATTATCAGATCTGAATAGCTGGGGGTTGGTGTCCAGTGAGTAAGCTGAGTAATAATATGGTAGGAGAAGGAGGTGTAGGTGAAAATCATACACTCGAAACAAGTCTGGTGTTGAGAGGGAAAGAGGAAATCACTCCCAAAGTCATATTTCTCTAAACAAACA